GAGAATCCCAGAAGAGATGTTTACTTGTGTTTTATTGACTATACAAAGGCTTTCAACTATCTGAGGCATAACCAATATGAACAGTATAGAGAAGCATGGGAATTCTAGAACACTTAATTCTACTCATGCAGAATTTACACATAGAACAAGAAAGATACAGTCATTCAGACAGAAAAGGTGGATACTGAATGGGGAAATGTGTGCATCAGTGTTCTATCCTTTCATCATATTTATTTAATCTATATGCTGAGCAAATAATCTGAGAAACTGGACTATTCGAAGAAGAACGTGGCATCAGGATTGGCAGAAGACTCATTCACAACTTGTAATATGTAGATGATACAATTTTGCTTGCTGAAAGTAAAGAGGACTTGAAGCACTTAATGATGAAGATCACAGACTATAGCCTTCAATGTGGATTATACTTCAACATAAAGAAAACAAAAATCCTCACACTGGACCAATAATCAACATCATGATAAATGGAGAAGAGATTAAAATTGTTAAGTATTTCACTTTATTTGGATCCACAATCAATGGCCAAGGAAGCAACAGTCAAGAACTCAAACAATGTATTACACTGGGCAAATTTGCTGCAATATAACTCTTTATAGTGTTAAAAAGCAAAGATGTCATTTTGAAGACTAAGGTGTGCCTGGCCCAAGCCATGGTATTTTCAATGCATGTAAAAACTGAACAATGAATAAAGGAGACTGAAGAACTATTTATGCCTTTAAATTGCAGTGTTGTGAAGAATATTTACTATTTCAGATTGCCAGAAAAGCATACAAATCTGTCTTAGAAGAAGTACAACCAGAATGCTCCTTAGAAAGGAGGAAAGTGAGACTTCATCTCATATACTTTGGGCATGCTGATTTTTAGGCAGGATCAGTCCCTGTAAAAGGGCATCGTGTTTGACAGAGTAGAGAGTCAAGGAAATGAGAAAGATCCTCAACAAGTGGAAATGACAAAGTGGAATTGACAAAGTGGCTGCAACAACAGGCTCAAACAGCAATGATTGTCAGGATGGTGCAGGGCCAAGTAAGTAGTATTTTGTTCTTTGATGCATAAGATCCTGAGTTGGAACTGCCTCTACCATGCCTAACAACAACAACAATATTTTTAAGGTCCATCCAAATTATGACATGCATCAGAATTTAATGTCTCTTTATGCCTGTTGTTGTTGTTAAGTGCCATCAAGTCGATTCCGACCCATAGCGACTCTGTATAGGGTTTCCAAGGAGTGACTGGTGAGCTTGAACCACCGATGTTGTGATTCAAATGACTTTGCAGTCTGGTGCATTAGCCCACAGAGCCGCACCAGGACTCCCGTTATGCCTATAATGCCTGAGTAGTATTCCATGGAGTCCTGGTGTGACACTGTAGGTTAAGCACTAGATGGCAAGGTTGGTTTGAACTACAAAATCCATGGTTCAAATTCACAAGCCACTCCTTGGAAACCCTAAACAGGGTAGCTATGAGTTGGAACCGACTCTACGGTACATAACAACAACAACATGTGGCACTGCAGGATAAGCACTGGACCGCACAGTTGGGTAAAACCACAAGGATGATGGTTCAAAGCCACCAGCTGCTCCTCAGAAACCATATACAGAGTCACTATGAGTCAGAACCAACTCAGAGAAACTTAACAACACACCTACAACTTGGTACTCAAATGTGAAGTTGCCATATCTTCTCAAACTGATAAAATAAACCTTTAGGTTTTTCCCTTGGAAAAAAAAAGCAAAGTACTCCAGAGCCTCCACCGCCTGTTCCCAGATAACCCTGCCCCTGACTGAAAGTATTGGTAGCTGTAGAGGCTTAGGCTGCCCCTGGAACCCTGGGCGGAACTCATGGGCTGTTGTTCATCTGTTAGAAGTTAACAATTTGGAGCTCTTTTTGGCTTGTTTTAGGTCTGATTCACCCAGACAGAACACTCTATCTCAGGATCTAACAGTCCTGTCAGAACTCTCCCAGGGGAGGACTAATGATCATATGATAGGATTGCCAAACAAAGCAATCTCATAAACAAAACTCTCAGCCTTATGTCCATTGAGAACTCAAACTGTCTGCCACAGATCACCACTAGGTGGCACATGGAAGATTGTCAATGCTTGTGAAACATGGCTACATCCTGTTGTGGAGGCAAGGGTGTAATTTTCAACTAATGTGTGATCCACAAGAGCTAAATTATCAATTTGAAATGACACCTTGATTTTCTTTTATTGAAGTTAGTTTATTTTTTCCAATGCTTACATACTCTATTGGGAGAGTTGAAAAACTTTGAAAGCTTTTGGAAGGGTAAAGTGCCCTTGTTGCCATGCTTCCTGGTGTGGCGCTGTAGGTTAGTGGGCTTGACTACAAGGTCAGTTTGAACCTCAAGGTTGGCAGTTCAAGCTCCCCAGCCACTCCTTGGAAACCCTATGCAGGGTCGCCATGAGTCTGAATCGATTCGATGGCACATAACAACAAGAAGGAAGAAATGGAGTTCTGTAGGATAAGCACTGGACTGCTAACTTCAAGATCAGTGGTTCAAATGCACTAGTCACTCCTTGGAAACCCTATATAGGGTCGTTAAGAACCAGAATAGACTCTACAGCACTTAACAATAAGGAGAGAAATAAAGAAGAAGCTAAGCACTTAACACTATTTTCTTCATGAACAAAAAATCTATTTCTGTGATCCAGATCTGACAGTAGACAAAACAGTGAAATAGAATAAGTGTGTCTATATTTCTTGCCCTCACTGTCCCTCTGCTCTCCATCCACATTCCTTCCTGATTTTATATCATATCCTTACTAAATTTAATCCTGTTTTCAATATATGGTACAGATTTATCATAGTCATTGCTCTTCCTGTAATTTAATGCTTTAAAGATATTTGATGGCAGTCTTAGCTTTCCCTGTCAATGAAATCTTGAAATCTCAGAGGACAGTCTAGGAGGACAATGGTAACAGCGTTCCAACTCAACAAGTACCCTGGTCTCAGCGAAGCAGAAGGCAGCATTCTAGATATAAAGAATGGAAAGAAGAATAGAAAGAAAAAAAGATAATCCAAGACATATTACATAACCTGTGCAGGACAACATCTCATTACAAAATTAGACCTCACACAGAGTCCTAACATCTTTCAGTATCATGCCAAGAATTTTACCAAAAGTAATTTGTAGACTGGATGAGGAGAAATCTTGCTCATCTAAGCCTTTTTACTGGTGTGTTAGTTTTACCTTTTCAGTATAAAAAGTGCTTTCCTCCATCAAGTTTATGGTCTTCTCCCCATCAAAGTATCTCCTAGGCATCCCCCTCTGAATTGCCCTCTGATCTGGAGAGGGATTACTCAATTCTTTCAAGTCTACAGTTCTTCCCATAAGAGCTCAAATCTGAAGGCCTTTCCTCTGATTTATGGATCAGCTGATCTTGCAGACTCACAGCATAGGAGGTGATGGGAGATGGGAGTGGAAGGAGTCCTTGTGTTTTCTTACAGGACACCCTGTTTGCTGTGTGTAGATGTCCTTGCTGAACTACAGCCATGGGGGAGCCTTTGCTTTGCTTGAAGATGGGTTGCAAAAACCTACTCCCAATCTGGTGTCTTTCTTAATTGTTCTCTACAAAGGCCTGCTTGTTTTGGCTGTCAAAGCACCCCAGTTTTCCACTGATTTACTCTCTTTAGACTCTGGGGAGTTATTCAGGTAAGTTAGGTTCTCTGTGACAAGCAAACCATCACTTTCATTTTTGATGAATGTGTAGTCTTGAAAGTACAAGGGGACCTACCTCCAGTTCTCCCAAATCACCAAGTTAGAGCTCAAATCCTTTCTGTAACACAGAAAACTTGACGGTCTCCTCTTTATTCCTTTCTCATCCCAATGTCTCTGGACATCCTACCCATCTCCCCGTCCTTCTTAGTCCTCCTATTTCTAACTGCTCTCTTTCTGTTTTCATTTCTTCTGAAATAAATAAGACACACTGACAGATGAAGAAGGAGATTTAAGTGTCCTTAAATCCACAAGGACCACAAGGTCAGTTCAAACTCACCAGTCGTTCCTTGGAACCCCTATACCAGGTTGCTATGAGTCAAAAACTACTCAATGGTACTTAACAACAATAACATAAGGTTTGGGGAGTCCTAGTGTGGTGCTTGTAGGATAAATACTGGATTGCAAAATGCAAGTTTGGTGGTTCAAACACACCAGCTGCTCCTCAGAAACCCTATACAGGGTTGCTATGAGTTGGAACCGGCTCAGTGGCACTTAACAACAACAATAACATGGTTCTGGTTGAGTGTTGTAGGATGAGCACTAGACTTCTTTCTAACTGCAAGGTCAGTGGTTCAAACCCACCAGTTGTTCCTTGGAAACCCTATACAGGATCCCTATGAATTGGAACTGATTCAAGTTCCTTAACAAAAACAACAGTATGAAACTCTAGCTTGGTCTGTAGCTTCCCCAAGCAAGACACTGTCCTTGCCCAGTACTTCTCTTAGAAACTGAAGGAAAGAGAAAGGGAAATATTGCCATACCCCCAGCCCCTAAACTTCAGAGAAAACAAAGTCCGACTTACCGAATCAGAAGTCTCCCACCCAGAAGCTAAGAATGACCAAGTGCCACAATGGTGCTATCACCCACAACACTAACTAGACTATTTCAGACATCAAATGGAACTAACTTTCAAACACTGGGAAAGAATCCCCTTAGAATCTCCTTGAATATCAAACATGAGAGTGCGCCTGGTTAGTTTACCAAAGGCAATTTGGATGGCATGCCATCTTAGTTCAGTAGACATTAGTACAGGAACCATCACTAAAAGCATTTTTTTTTGTAGTCTGAAAATGTGTGCTGTAAGGTCCACAAGAACAAACTTAAAGGAAAAAAACAACCTCGTAGTTACAGTGTGTGACATGGCATTCTGATTGACTGGGAAAATGGAACCTGCTGCTTACATACTTAGAGGATCTTTTGTTCTCTACACCTGTTTGTGTGATTCTCTCTCTTCTGTTTCAAGCCTCTTCCCTGGCTCTTTACGCTATCTGGTCCAGCAGCACCTAGATTTGCTTCATGCACTGCAGGAAAGGGTCCTGAAGTGGCCTCGCCAAGGAGTCCTTGGAGATTTATTTCTTAAATTGACTAACGATGAGGTAAGTTGTTGTTGTTTTATTCCTTTAAAAACTTGAATTGTGTCGATCTGTCTCTCACTTTTCTGCTTCTGGTTCTTAGAAGAGAATCTAGAATCAGTGACTATCAGAGATGGAAGAACTACAGAGATCTACTTGAACCTCGTTTTTCTAGATAATGGTAAAGTTCAGAGAGATGAAAAGATAGACTGCTGAAATCACTCAGCTAACTAGGTAGCTGTAGCGCTGACCCGAGAACCCAGTTCATCACTTTCCTCTCTACTGTACTGCCCTTAAGTCCCTGGCTGGTGAAAAAGTTAACGTGCTCTGCTGCTAACTGAAAAGTTGAAGTTCAAGTCCAACCAGAGGTTCCTTGGAACAAAGACCTGGAGATCTACTTTTTAAAAATCAGATGTTGGAAACCCTATGGAGCACAGTTGTACACTGGCACACATGGAGTCACCAAAAGTCAAAATCAACTCTGTGGCAGTGAAAAAAGAAGATACTGCCTCTGTTGAATGTACATGTGTGTGTATGTATAATTAATATGTGAGGGTAGTGTATATGTATGTATTTTCATTCCTATTTGTTGTTGTTATGTCCTGTGGAGCTGGTTATGACTCACAGAGACCCTGTATAGGGTTTCCCAGTCTGTAAGGAGTGTGTGGTGCTTTGGGCTAATGCACTGGACTGCAAAGGCATTTGAACCACAAGGTTGGTGGCTCAAGATCAGCAGCCATTTCTTGGAAACCCTATACAGGGTCACTATGGGATGGAACCGACTCGACAGCACTTAACAACCACAACAACAAAGCTTTACAGAAACAGAAAACCTCATCTTTCGCCATGGAGCAGCTGGTGGATTTGAACTGCCAACTTTGTGGTTAGCAGTCCAGTGCCTATCCTACAGCTCTTTTGAGATCTTAAAATGTGACAGGTGGCTGGCTATTGAATGCTTTTTAAAATTAATTGCTTGGAGAAAGAGTGCTAAGTTATAAAGCCTCTATACTGTTCTATACAAGAAAATACGATCTAGCCCAAAAGTTACAAACTCAGATGTCTATAGAACCAGGCAGTGACATAAATTAATGAGGTGAGCTGAATGGAGTTCAATATGTACAATATGAACTAGAGGGAGGTGCTCTATGTGAAGCCTGGGTACTTTTTACAAGGAATGTCTACTCAGCTTTGTGCAAATATTATGCCTTAAGGAGGACTAAAGTTGCCAGAACTTCTGATGTTTTAAGGGAAGCTGGAAATCTATAATTTTATATGAAATGTCCTTATTTTTAAAATCTTGTGTGGGCCATTTAAAATTGGTGCACAAGCCACATTTTGTCTGCAATCAACCGCTATATAAATTCAACAGTGGAAACCCAATACAAAGTCTACGAATGATTTACTTATAGAGTGAATTTGATGTTATTCTTCTAACGTCATTTTTATTCATTTGTACTCAGTAGGCTTTCTTGAGCTGAGAATTGTTACACCTATGGGAATATATCTGGAAGCTGGTTTAGATAGTATCAGATGTGTTAGGCAAAGTTCCTTGTTTGGATGTAGATGATTGAAATTAAAAGGAATTACAAAAACAAAATCTGTATATTTATCATTTAACAATTTAAAAACAGCTTACATGAGACTCCCCATTCCTTTATTGATGGTTTTACTTTCTCTCATTAAAACAGTGTTATCAAGTCTGGGTTCCCAGCTCCTTAGGAATGTTTACCTTAAAACCAAAAGAGATTTTTAATAAAAGAATTAAAAATCCCCAAAAGGTATTGATAAACACGTTAAAAGAATGGTAAAGATAATCTCTACAAAATACTCCCTTTTGATCTACATGGCTCTACAGCCATATGAGTTTCCAGGTTCTTAACAATGCATTTTTGTATTTTTTTTAAAGAATAATTTCTTGGATTACTATGTTGCCTACCTGAGGGACCTACCTGAATGCATCTCTTTGGTTCACATTGTTGTTCTGAAGGAGGTGAGTTAGCTGTATGCACCTGCTGCCCATTGTTTATAGGTGTGCCAACTTGATGCTGCCCACCCGCTCAGTAAGTATAGTACATGCTCTTGAGCTTGTTTTCCAGCCTAAGAGATGGCTTAGCAGATCCACTGAGACCCCTATCTGGAGTTAGAAGAGCCCACTCAGGGATCAGTACCATTGTTTTGGTCTTTGCCCTGATTTCCCGACCCTCTGCTCCATTCCATTGGATTGACACACAAATCAATCAGGTGTGCTAAGCAGGGATCTTCAGGTTGCAGCTTGCATGCTGTATGTGGTTTGGGTTTTTTTTTTTTTTTTTTTCCAAGTTCAGAAGATAGAAATTTGAATGTTAAACTCGGGTCATTCTGTGTCTTTCAGCTGATAAGATTGTAACGTAGCTCTAGTCATGTTGCTTTCAGTCATGCTATTGTAGTGGTGTGCTTGTTACTTAATAAACACACACAAATATGTAGCCATTCTAGTTACTGTAGTTCGATAGAAAGAAGCATCAGAAGCCCTAATGTTGAGAGTTAATCAAATGTCACAAGAAGTGAGAAAAGCTTTGTCTTACTAACTTTTTACTTCCTACTCTGGTGGGACTGACTCTGGAGCTCTGCTGCCAGAGCTGGAGTTAAATCCTGAGGCCTGACTCCACCTTTCTTTCATTCAGGGTGATGAGGAGATTAAGTCTGACATCTACACACTGTTTTTTCACATAGTCCAACGCATCCCGGAATACCTAATACATCTGCAGGTAGGCAAGGCTGGGCAAGCCACCAAACTAATTTTCATGCTTAACAATTGTTTTTGGCTTCCAACAAAGGAAGGTTTAAGGGGTCAAGGAATCACTAATATTTCCAAGAAATATTGAAATAATTTAGATCATTATGATTATCCAGTGTGGCTAATGCGCTAGACTACAAAGCCTGTTTGAGGCGCAAGTCTGGCAGTTCAAGATTACCAGCTGCTCCTCAAAAACCCTATACAGGGTCGCTGTGGGTTGAAACCAACTTGACAGCACTTAACAACAACAACAACAACACCCTGTGATATGAGCTAAAAATCTCTTCTTCATTTACCAGCAATCTCCACCACTTCTTATCCAGCATGTTTCTGTAGAAGTTGCTGCTAAATCCTGAGCATCTTCTACCTCCATTCTGCAGCCACCTAAATGCTTCCCCCTCCCCCCACCCCCAACATCTAGGAACTATCTTGCTGAACTACCCACTTAATTGCTATCCTGGCTTCTTTCTTTTGGCATGGGTCCAAGTGTCTAGCAAGCGTTGTTCATGTTTTATGCCATAGAAGAGGCATGAAGAATCTGATAAGCTCTTTTCTTCACACCATTTTCCCCGCAGGGCTGTGGCATCGTGGCGTATGTAGATTAGAGAGAGAAGTTCACCATTCCCCTTGCCCACCTGTCCTTTTCTCACCAGCCACTTATTCTGGTTTTATTAACTGACTGATCTTCCTAAGTCAAAAGTCACCATCTTAGAAATGGTGTGGCACTGTATAACAAGCGCTGGGCTGCAAAGTTGGTTTGAATCACAAGATAGATGATTCAAGCTTACCAGCTGCTTCTCAGAAACCCTGTACAAGGTCGCTATGAGTTGGAACCGACTCAACAGTACTTAACAACAACCACCACCTCAGGTAGCCGATTACCGATATTAAAAAGACTTTGTATTGTACAGGGGTGCTTCAAAGAGTTTGTGGAAAAATGGATTTAAAAGATAATGGAATTTTTCCATTAACTTTTTGAAACTCCCTTATATACATCTTCAGATTTTAAAAGGATTTGCCACGATATTTATTTTATTTAGTCATTTCAAGTATCCCATGAAGTAGTCATAACTGCCATTTTTTTAAAAAACCAGATCATCAGCCCCACACCCAACAAATCATACACTTTGTTTTGTTGCAATGATTGCAATCCCTTCTACGTATCATCAGTTGACAGTATTTACCTCTATTCTCTTTAACTCTTACACTCCTCTGTGTCTTCCACTACCTTCATCTTTCCTGGGCCAATCTCCCTCTTATTGTATATTGCCTTCCCCAACACCCAAGTTAACAAGTGTCTACCTTCTAGCCCCTGAATAATTTTCCCTTCCCTCCAACCTCTGGTAACCATCATAGAATATTTCTTTTAGCAAGAAACCTTTTCTTAACTTTTTAAAAACAGTCTCATACAATATTTGTCCTTTTGTGATGGACAAATTTCACTCAGCATAATGTCCTCCAGGTTCATCCATGTTATGAGGGATTTCACAGATTTGTCATTATTCTCCAGTGTTGCATAGTATTCCATTGCATATGTACCAAACTTTGTATCTATTCTGCTACTCTTTGTCTCTCTCTCTGTCTATTTTTTTTTAAATGTTTTTATTGTGAATTGAGTAAAAGTTTACAAGGCAAATCATCAATTTTACATTCAACAAATCATACACCTTGTTTCATTACAATGATTATAATCCCCTCCATGTACCATCAGTTACCAGTGTTTCTCTCTGATCATTTTAGCTCTTTTTGTATTTTAAACACTCAGGCATATATAATAATTTACACCACCAAAGGGCACAATTCTGCAATCTGCCTCCTGGCTGCTAGCTCTCAATCCCTCTCTTTCCATGAATCAAGAGTCCTCAGCTTCTCTCTCTCTCCATGTTCCCATCTCTACCTCCATCTCTGGTGTTACTCCGTCTCTGGATAAGGTCCCATATTCTGCTTGTGTTCTTCTCCCTTGATGGTTCTAGGGTCCTCTGTTTCTGGACTGTAAAATTAACTACTCCCCTGTTTTTGTTAAAAATCTTCTACCTTTACAGTTGTGACATTCTCAATTAGTCATTATAACAGTTACTCACTATTGAATCATAAGAATCTTATCCCCATCTCTTTTTACCAGACCTATCTTGTTGTTGTTGTTAGGTGCCATCAAGTCAGTACCGATTCATAGCAACCTTATACACAGCAGAATGAAACACTGCCTGATCCTGGGCCAGGCTCACTACTGTTGCCATGCTTGAGTCCATCGATGCTTCCACTTGGCCAATCCATCTCATTAGGGCTCTTCCTTTTTCTCTGACCCTCCACCTTACCAAACTTGATATCCTTCTCCAGCAACTGGTCCCTCTTGGCAATATGTCCGAAGTAGGAGAGACAAAGTTTGGCCATCTTGACCTCCAAGGAGCACTCTGGCTGCACTTCTTCTAAAATGAATCTGTTGGTTCTTTCGGCAGCCCATGGCACTTTCAATATTCTCCTCCAACATCATAACTCAAAAGCATCAACACTTCTTTGGTCTTCCTTATCCACTGTCCAGCTTTCAAATGTACATGAGGTTATTGAAAATACCCATGGCTTGGGTCAGGTGCACCTTAGTCCTCAAGCTGACATCTTTGCTCTTCAACACTTTTAAAAAGTCTTGTGCAGCAGATTTGCCTAATGCAATATGTCGTTTGATCTCTTGACTGTTGCTTCTGTGAGTGTTGATAGTTGATCCAAGAAGAATGAAGTCTTTGACAACTTCAATTTTTTCTACGTTGGTAAGAATTGTTTATTGGTCCAGTGGTGAGGATTTTTATTTTCTTTATATTGAGATGCAATCCATACCAAAGGCTGTGCTCTTTGATCTTCATCTGTAAATGTTTTAAGTTCTCTTCATCTTCACTGAAAGATGAAAACTATTCAGTGGGGACTCTTTCGTCCCTCACACACTATTAAACTAAACTCCTTTTTGGAACCTTGTAAGCCAGTCACTTCGTGTCTTTGTCTGCCTCCCTGGTGTATGGCAGTTGGTGATGGTTCTTGCCTGGATTTTGGTGTTTTATAGAGTGTGATTGTAGCTTGACTATATGGCAGCAATTGCTGTCTCATCTTGGGTAATATAGGGAGAGAAAGAGTCCCCCAAATGTGCAAGGGGGAGCATAAAACAGCAAAACAGCAACAGCAAAAAACAAGAAAAACTATAACAACAAAAAACTAGATTGGATACTGTAATCTATAATTGCAGAAAAGGGAGAGGAGGGAGTGAAGAAAAAAAAAATCTTGTACCCTAATAAGACTTTAAAGTCCTCTTGCAGTTTCTTGATTTCAAAGTTGTCTGATAGATTTTTGGCCTGTTTTTTTTTTTTTTTTAAGTCTCTTCCCCTCTCCACACCCCTTGTTCTGGCCTTTTCCATATTAAAAAAAAAAACAACAAAAAACAGTTCAGGGCCTGCTCTTGGACTGAGAGTATCTGTGCGCATGCATGACAGAAGAACCCACCAGTGTTGAGAGTGGGGCGGTGTCCACTCGCTCAGGCACTCCATTTAGTCACCAGAATGGAGGTGCACAAACAGTGGGGGGGGGGGGGCAAAAAAAAAAACACAAAAAAAAAAAAAAAATCAGAAAAAAGCAAAACTGACTAAGTGTATCGTCCACCTTTGCTCTGAGGTTCCTGCGGCATTTTTCCGTTATGTGTCTGCTCCCTCCCCCGCTTGATCTTGCCATTTGGTCTCGTCCAAGTTATTGTCTCCGGCCCTCGAGCCTGGCAGATTGAAATGTACATGATTTACTACTACTTCTGCTGTTTGTTGTTGTTGTGTGCCGTGGAGTCGGTTCTGACTCATAGTGACCCTGCACAGGGTTTCCAAGGCTGTTAATCTTTACGGGAGCAGAACGCCTCATCGTTCTCCCACGGAGCAGCTGGTGGTTTCGAACTGCTGACCTTGCGGTTTGCAGTCAGATTCGTAACCACTACGCCACCAGAGCTATAAGTTTCACTATAAACCTTCAAACTTTTTAGCTGTAAGTCTTCAAACTTTTTAAATATTCCTACTTATGTGGTAGAATTTTGGAGCTCTGCACTGAATCTGCTTTGCCTGGTATTCTGTGGTATTGCTGACAACAAATTTCACTGCCCCTCTATCCTAGCCACCATCAAGCCCTGCCCTGTCTTTAGCTTTTGAAAATTTGATTATAATATATTTGGGTAACTTTCTATATTTTTGGGGTTTGTACAGCTTCTTGAATCTTCTTGTCTTTCATGATGTTAGGAAAGTTTTCTTTGGCAATTTTCTCCATGCTTTTTATTGTCTCTTCCTGTTTTGTAATTCTGACCGTCCATAAGTTGTTCCTCTTCATGGTGCCTCACATAACTCTCAGGTTTTGATTGGATTTTTTCCATTCTTTTTGTCTAATTGTTCTTCTAGCTCACTAGTGCTGAGAAATTTATTTTCAAGTTCACTAATTCAGACTTGAATTGCTTAGAATCTACTCCTTTCCCCTTTCAGTATATAGTCCATTTCTTCTGTAGGATAAGTACTGAACAGCCAACCACAAGATCAGCAGTTCAAACCCACCAGCCACTTCTTAGAAACCCTATAAGGGTCGCTATGAGTCAGAACAAACTCGGTGGCACTTAACAACAGTAACAACAATAGGTACAACTGTAAAAGTTAAATTAGATAATATATGTAAAGAGTGTAGTGCCTAGTAATAGAAAATGCTCTATAAATGTTCATTTTTCCAAATCCAATACAAGTACTTGGTCTACTCCAGCAGAACAGGCAATGAAATAGGAAAGATATGATGCCATATGCCCCACTGCTTGACATTCTCACCACCGGCCTGACTAATCTGGGTTTTTGTTGTTGTTAAGTGCCGTCAAGTTGGTTCCAACCCATAGTGACCCTGTATAGGGTTTCCAAGGAGCAGCTGGTGAGCTTGAACCACCGATCTTGCCGTTCAAATGACTTTGCAGTCTGATGCATTAGCCCACAGCGCCACATCAGGAGTCCACTTTTAATAGAGAGCATCATTAGGATGTCTCCATTATCTCAGAGATGTAATTAGTAGAGAAACTTCTAAAAGTTTTAAATGAAAGTATCTAGAGCAACTCAAACATGTGTATAAATACAGTGTAGTGGAGGAATCTGACCTCCTTTAATCATGATAGGGAGAGAGAATGAATCGCCATTAGAATTAACCCAAGGCTGAATACTATGAAACCGAGGTCAAGCATGCCTCTTCTTTCCAACCTTTTTTTTTTTAACCAGTTCTGACACCAGCCATCCCTCTCACAACATTCCCTACTCTCCTGCTGGGTTCAGTAATTTGTCACCATGACCACAATTAGGCGGATGTGATACATTACCATTTAGGATCAGAAACTCCACAGGATACAGTTCTTTAATCAGGACAGCCTCTTTTCATTCATGCCTTGCTTTGGTGAATGTTACAAAACTCTTCAGCTCTGCCAGCAAATGCCCATTGGTACCCTAATCTGCAGGAAGCCTTGGCTCAAAGGTGCTCAGTCCTCTTGTTCCATGGACCCATGAGCCTAGCTCTGTCAAGTGTCCAGAGGCATTCTGTTCTACCAGCAAGCATCCTTCTCGAAGGCACTCGTCTCCATGAGCTGGGAAGTCCCCTGTGCCATTTCCTGCTGGTCTTCTGCCTCTGATGCTGCTGTTGTTTCTCTGCTGTTGTGTCTCACTACCTTTCCATATCTCAATATTACAATTGTCTCTTGAGTCTAGAAGGTACCCAAGGCAGAGAACCTGCATCTAAAGGATGCGCCTCACTCCCATTTTTTCTTCTGGGTGGTAGTGAGGTCCATCACTGTCCATAACTCAGTGGCAAAACTGACCAATACCCTCATTAGGGTTCCATACACCTTATTTGCATTGTCTCACCCCTAAGCATGCCATGCACCTTATTTACATTATTTACAAGCAATCCAATCCACTTGGTGGGCCACAAGCATCTCATTTGCACGTTACCACTTAGTCTTTTAACCTTCTAGTGTGGTGCTATGTGTTAATGCACTAGACTGCAAAGTCAGTTTGAACCACAAAGTTGGTTTGAACCCTATACAAGGTCACTACAGGTCAAAATTGACTCAACGGTACTTAACATCTTAGTCTTTTGGTGGGAGTTACAAGACAATAGTAAGAAAGGCCATAAAATAGCAATTCATCACAACTGGCCATTATTTTCCCTTGGAATGATGAACAGTAAGTTTGACCTTTCGGCTCATGTTTAGATGAGCCATATGTATTGTTAGTTGTATATGATATTCTCACAATAAATTAAAGCAAGGTGTGGAAGAGACAAAAACAACTTTTCATTCTAATTATGAAGTGCTTCTTCCTTTTTTCCTCCATCCAGAATGTCCTGAAGTTCACGGAGCAGGAACACCCTGACTATTACTTACTTCTGGTGTGTGTTCAGCGACTCCGAGTATTTATCTCTCATTACACCTTGCTGTTTCAATGCAATGAGGATTTGCTTATTCAGAAACGGAAAAAGCTCAAGAAGTAAGGTTCTGATGTTGCAGTGCGGAGAATCAATTAAAGGCTTCTGAGAACAAGAGTGTAGAGACCAGCTGAAATGCAGTGATGGGTGCAGGGACGGATGGGAGGGCGCAGGGAATAGGGGAGTAGACAAGAAGAAGGAAGAGAAAGGGAGGGAGGTGACCAGATGAGCTACTGCAGGGAGGCACCTACAACTTGGTGGAACTCACTTTAGGAAATTAAGCACTTTTATTCTGATGCCTAGGCAGACCTCTCTTATCCCATGTTCAGTTTCCCTAAATTTGCCAGGTTCAGAATTGCAGTTGACAGACCAGAATGTTGTTTCATTATGTCAGTATTTACTTTTTGAGCAACTACTGCGTGCTAGGTACTCTCAAGGCATTGACTATATCACAATGAACAGAGCAGACAATAGCTACATGGTGTTTATTTACTAGAGCTGGACAGTTAGCAGTAAACAAATTAGATGTAATAAGTTCTATGGGGAGTCCTGGTGTGATGCTGTGGGTTCATGCGCTGGACTGCAAAGTCGGTTTGAACCGCAAGGTCGGCGGTTCAAGCTCACCAGCTACTCCTTGGAAACCCTATGCAGGGTCATTATGGGTTGGAACCGACTCTACGGCACTTAATCGCAAGTTCTATGGATAAAAATAAAGTAAATACAAGAGACGGGGACAGAACAGATTGTATACTAGGAACAAATAGTAGGGCTGATTAGGGAAAACCTGGGCCTCAGAGGGAACAAAATAGCAGTCTTGGGTTTCCTTCAATCTTATCCCAACTCACCTCTATAAAAAGAAAATCATTTCTGTGAGTGCTTCAGGCCAGAAAACAATGTTATCTTCTAAGCCAAGATTTCTCAAATGCAGATGTCTTTCAATGCAGCCACCACCATCACCCAGCAAGCTCATTTCAGTTAATCAGAGCCCCTTTTCATGCCTATGGGCCAGCTTGCACCCTGTTAGAGGGTCCACCCTGGAGAGAGACGTTCAGGGTGAATGTCATCTGAGAGACATTGTCTTTCTATCTGCCTTGGCACAACCTGTGTGTTCAGAAAGCCAGTCGCCTCTGCACAACTTGAGAAATAATTGCTTGTATTCTGTTAGGTCATCCATGGCGAAGCTGTACAAAGGACTGGCTTCCCAGTGTGCAAATGCTGGGCAAGATGCTTCCTCAACTCCAGGACCTGAGGCTGTCCGTGACAGTGGGATCCACTCTGAAGAGATGCTGCAACCTTACCCTTCTGCTTCCAGTTCTGGCCCTGCTGTCACGTAAGTTTCTGTGGAGAGGTAAATGACAATGTCCTCTGGCCTCTGGTAGTTTGTGTGGGAGTGGCAGGACTGCCTGAATCAGGCCTTTATGTAGCAACCAAACAGCTGACCTGATACCTGGGTCCCAGAAGAAGACACTAGTGTTAAAGGATAGCTTTAAGGCTGGGAGTTGCTCCCAACAATTTTACCACACACAACTACTCACAACTTACAGCTTGAGTCTCTTCGGTTTTGGACAATGATAGATTGGACTGTCATTTTGGGCAATGATAGGAAGACAGTTTATAGCCCTTCAGAAAAATCGGAACCAAGTTAAAGTCTCCAAAAGACATAGTGCAGAGAAAGAGAAACCTAGTCCAAGGCCTGGGGAAATCTGGATTCTGAGGATGAGGTGACACAGAAAGAATGTGCCCTTTCTGATTCTCTAAGTTCCTTTAGGAAGGGACTTCATAAGCTCTGTTCACCAATTATGACTGCTTTTCTGGAAGCTCATCTGGGCAGTGTAAGGATTTGACAGCCTTTCAAAGTCTCTGAACACAACCTCCTAGCACATTAAACTAGAAGCTAGACCAATCAGTCTAAGATTGTCATTTAGTAAAATTCTTTTTTACTTTTAGATGATAAAGACAAAGACACTTTAACTGGTTTAGAAACCAGGACTTCTAGAAACTCAGAATTCCCTCTTTATCAAACATAGACAATTCTCACAAACCTAATTTCTCATACTATAAATTCTGTTTTGGGTTTTATTGCCTTAAGCACAATTTAGGATTCATGCAAAGAGTTACTTCTTTTCTAAAATTATGACGTGAGAAGTAGGCAGTTGAGATGACTTCATCTTTTAATGTCAATTATAATCACCGGAAAGAGCAGCTAACCAACAACAAAAAATAAGTTTTATTTTCTCCTTTGTGCCCTCATCTCTTTTATGAGAACGTCTATTAGAGAGATGGAAGTGCAAATCTGGAGAGGAAGGAGGGAGAAATTTCATAACAGGGATGTGATCATGCTGAAACCCATGGGACATTCACTTTAAATACTTTTTCTGGTGAAGGTGGGGAGAGACAGGCAGGAAATGGATATTTACTTTATGGATCACTTCAACTGTTAAGTCAGTAATAAAACTTTGAAATGCAACAGATAGCCCAAAAAATGAAATCCCAAGAGATTAAATCCAGGTGACACAAGATGGTTATGATTACATTTTGTGTAGGCAAAGTAGCAACAAGAAACAAGAAAAAAAACTCATCAAGTGTCTTCCAAGTAAAAGGGAATTCAAGTCAGTTTTTTGTTTCACTATTTCTTTTCACATCTGTAAATGTGAGACCTAATATTTTAAGTAAAATACTTAGTGTTAGCTTCTACATTCTTGCTCATTATTCATTTTTGTGGTAGAATTAAAAAATTAGTAAACTACCAGATTAATCAGTTTCCCTCAGTTACATCTATCTGGCAACTAAATTCCAACACAATTGGAGCTCATGTTTCCTATCCTAATTTGTTATTATGTAAACTACTAGTTAATGAATCCATGATATAAAAAGATATAAAACCCTCCAGGAAGTTGGGAAGATTCTGTGATAGCTTTTACATTTTGGTAATACCTGTTGTGACACTGTAGGATAAGCACTCGACCACAAGGTCAGTTTGACCACAAGATCACAAGATCAGCAGTTCAAGTTCACCGGCTGCTCCCGGGGAAACTCTATATATACAGGGTTGCTATGAATTGGAACCGACTCCACGGCACTGAACAACAACAACAATGCTTTTGTGGATGGGAGTTTTAGATCACTTTTATAACAAGCTTTATGGTCTTAACAGAATTTTTTTAGTTTTTCTTTTTTAATTATGAAAATGGCAAACACACACAAGAGTACAGTGAACTCCATATGCCCACCATGCAGATCCAACAGTTATGAAGACCTTGCCACATTTATTTCATCTGGGAATTTAAGATTACTGTTACGTGTGAAGATCCATGAGTAGAACAAAAGTTGAGTTTCCATTATTTGGTATGATTCTGCTAGGGCAAGAAAGGGAGAGAACAGAGAAAAGTGTAACTTGGAACACTGGCAGGTCCGAAGGGGTGGAGAAGGTCACAGCATCCACAAGGGAAATGCTATTCCAGGGCCTGTTAGCCTTCTCTACTCTTGGTCTCCAGGATGCTCTGGTGAACACTTCGCACATCCGCTTTAAGGACCATTTTCCACTCTTCCAACTTGGGGCAGGGGTTCGTGGAACCTCTTCATTAGATAAGTTTTGTGGAGCTTTGTAGGTCACACGCAAACGTGTCTAGGAAGGGAAGAGAGATGAGGAGCTGGCTGTTAAGGGCCCTAGCACTGTCTGTATGTCAGGCTGTGAGTGGCTCAGGCTTGCGCTCGGTTGAGTCCTGCACTAACAAACCATAAGCACACCTGTTTTATATTCTGTTTCCTCTTTAAAGACATTTGCTGCCCCCAGTGAAGAAAAGCCAACCACAGCAAAGTCTGATGGAGAGCATGCAGCCGGGAAAGCCGAGCGAATGGGAGATGGAGGGCAGAAAGCACGAGAGGCCGGAGAGCCTCCTGGCGCCAGCGCAGTTCTGTGCTGCCGAGCAGGACGTGAAGGCGCTCGCCGGGCCTCTACAGTCCATCCCAGAGATGGACTTCGAGCCCGCCCCGGCTGAGCAATTGAGCAACATGGAGCGCTCCATGCGCGCCCCCGCCGAGCTGCTGCCCGACGCCCGCGGCTTCGTGCCCGCGGGCTATGAGGAGTTCGAGTACGGCGGCGAGATCTTCGCGCTGCCGGCGCCCTACGATGAAGAACCCTTCCAGACCCCGGCCCTCTTTGAAAACTGCTCGCCCGCCTCGTCCGAGTCCAGCCTCGACATCTGCTTCCTGCGGCCCGTCAGCTTCGCCATGGAGGCCGAGCGGCCCGAGCACCCGCTGCAGCCGCTACCCAAGAGCGCCACCTCGCCGGCGGGCAGCAGCAGCGCCTACAAGCTGGAGGCGGCGCAGGCGCACGGCAAGGCCAAGCCGTTGAGCCGTTCGCTCAAAGAGTTCCCGCGCGCGCCGCCAGCCGAGGCCGTGGCCCCGCGCCTCTACAGCACGCGCAGCAGCAGCGGCGGCCGAGCGCCACTCAAGGCCGAGCGCACCGCGGCCCCCCATGGCCCGGTCGCGGTCGCTGCCGCAGCCCGCGGGGCACCCAGGACATTCTTTCCCCAACAGAGGTCCCAAAGCGAAAAACAGACCTATTTGGAAGTAAGGAGGGTAAAGTAAAACCGAACCAAACCCACAGTGCCGCTGGCCTGAGCCCCAGCGACGCGATGCCCTTAGATCTCCAGGGAGCACTGACCACACCTAGCGATAAGAGGCAGCAGCAGGCTTGGCCTATGGGGAGCGGAGTGAGGTCCATGCGAAGGATTGAGGCTGGGGACAGATTCTGGGGTGGAACCTTGGTCCTGATTAAAAGCTTGCACCTCAGTTGCTCTTGAAAACAAATGTTGGCGCATGTTCTCCAACACCAGGTCACGAAGAGCAGTTCTGTCTTCTGTATGTATGACAGCAAAGAGACAGCAGGTGACGTTTTAGACCCGCCCTTTTTCTGCCCCAACACACACATACTTATACACAGATACACTTGTGCTCTGTTCTGCCTAAACTATGGTACCATCAAAGTTACACTACACTTTCTGAAGCACGCACTACCAGTTTCTATCTCTGGCTGTTAAGTGTACCTCCTTGTTTAAATGTTCAAAATATTGAACACTGTGTGTGTCAGCTTGCACTACTACTCCCTGACCCTCTTATTTTTGCTGGTAGCACGTTGCCCTACGTCAACGCGAACTTGCTCTAGCTAAGTTCCTATCTGATGGCTTTCTTTTGACTGCAGAAAGGTGCCACATTAATTTAGACTCCAGTGGGATGGGACATCCCAAAATAGTCAAGGAAGCATTGAGTCACAGACACCATCTTTGAACTCCACATAACTATATTTGGCAATTTGCTGTTTAATTTTAGTGTCTGCCAACATCAGAGCATTTAAATAGATGTTTACATAATATTCATGAAAGGATTAATAGTTTCTGATCACTTCCTCTGCATGTGGCTGAGACTAAAGCAATTTCTAATTAAGCACAAAGTATAGCAAGCATTATTCCCATTTACTCTTACCCTTCCTGTTTAGTATCATTTTTGAAGTGGCGGTTAGGGTTTACAGGACAACTCTGTTAGTACTTCTTGAAAATGACTTAGTGAGCTGCCCTGAATACAGTATTGGCATCAAGCTCTAGCAATCCTTGGCTAGACGGTTGTCATTTCCAAGCTAGTGAGAGCAGATTAAGGATCACTGACACCTTACATTCATTGCATTTTCAGCAAACACGTTAGCACCTGCCTTGCACCAGGCTCTAAGCTAAAGTCTGAGGTTTAGGAACCCAGACTCTGCCTGCCAGGATCACCGGCTCAGTGCAAGAAGGAGACACAGAGGCACAGATGTGGAAGCACATGAGAGGGGGTGGTTCCATTCCATAAGCACTGAACTGTGAACCACAAAGTCTGCAGATCAGGCCTTTCTCCATGGGAGAAAGATGAGGCTGTCTGCTCTCATGAAGACTGAAAGCCTCGGAAACCCTATACAGGATTGCTATGAGTTGGAACTGACTCCACTGGAGTGGCACTGTAGGATTAGCATTGGACTGTTTACCAAAAAGGTTGGCAGCTCAAACTTACCAGTTGTTCCTCGGAAACCCTATGTGTGTGTGTGTATGTATGTATATATGTATGTATATATATATATATATATATAAAATGTCGTCGAGTCAGTTCGGACTCATAGCAATCCTGTGTAGCGTTTCTGAGCTTGAACTGCCTACCTTGCAATTCAAACCAACTTTGCAGTCCAATGCATTAACCCACAGCGCCGCACCAGGACTCTGGAAACCATATAGGAGGTTGCTATGAGTTAGAACCAACTTGACCACACTTAACAACAATACCAAGGGTGATGGTAGAGGAGCCCTTGTGGTGTAATGGGTAACGAGTTGAGCTGCTAATTGTGAAGTCAACAGTTTGAATCCACTAGCTGCTCCTCAGGAGAAAGATGAAGATTTCTGCTCCCATATAGATTCACAGCCTCGGAAACCCTATTCCAGGATGCTGTGAGTTGGAACCAACTCAATGGCACACAGCAGCAACAACACGGTGATAATAAGAAGCCCTGGTGATGCTGTAGAATAAACACTGGACTGCTAACCACAAGTTCAGCAGTTCAAACCCATGAGCACACTATGGGAGAAGATGAGGTTTTCCTCCTGGGAAACTTTATACAGAATTGCTGTGAGTTGGAATTGACTTGATGGCAGTGAGTTTGGTTTGTTTGACAGGGTGATGGGAACCCTGGTGGCGTCGTCATTAAATGCTTGGCTGCTCATCTAAAGGGTGGCTGTTGGAACCCACTAGCTGCTCCACAAGAGAAAGCTGTGTCAGTCTGCTTCTGTAAGGGTTTATAGTCTAGAAAATCCGAGGCATTTCTACTCTGTCCTGTAGGATTCCAATGAATCAGAATTGCACCGATAGCAATGAGAGGGGGATGGTAGGGAGCCCCGGTGTCCAATGGTTTAACGCTTGGCTGCTAATCAAAAACTTGGTCATTTCAACTCACTAATTGCTCCTCCGGAGAAAGATCTGCCAACCTGCTCCTGTAAAAATCACATCCTAGAAAACCGTGTGGGAAGTAGAAAGAAAACAATAATCTGTCTCATAGGATCACTGAAAGTCAGAATCAACTTGATCGCACCCTACAACAACGGGTTGATGGTCAGATAAGGCCTCCTAGATAAGTGGAATGTCTGAATTTGATTTTTAAAACAACCCAGAAGGTGGGTGGAAATTGAGGTAGGAAAAAAGTCTATGGACATCAAACAACAGGATGATGTTTTTCCTTAGATAGAAATTAGACCAGAGGGACAGGAAGGGGCTGATCATGAAACGCCCTTACCTTTCTGATCCCTGTGTTACTGGACAAACAGTCCAGTCGCCAGGTCCTGCAGCCAATAACAGAGATGGGATGAGAATCAACATAAGTTTTATTAACAGATCTGGAAGGCAACAAGGTTCTTCTCAGACTGCCTTGGCTTCCACCATATGTTTGAAATTTTTATACCATCCTGGATATTAACCCATTTGGTATTGTCACATTCCTTATTAAGAGCTTAATGTCCTCTCCCATCTTGGAAGGCAATCTACACTCCACTAGCTCAAGGTCCTTTACACTCTGGGAGTAACGTCCCCTTTCCTTTAAACAAAGCATGGTGATAGTGAAGACACCTGAGCAGCAGACACGTTCTCTCCTCTGGTTTTCCTCCTCTAACTGTTTTTCCCCCCCTGAGTTTTAATCAACAATACACCACTAAGTCCTTCAGCTACAAGTTCCAGAAGTACATCTACAAGAGAGATGTTAGGGCAGTAATGATTCGGAGGAGTCCTGGTGTGACATCATAGGATAAGCACTTGACCATAAGATTGGTTTGAACCACAAGGTTGGCGGTTCAGACTCACCAGTCACTCTTTGGAAATGCTATACAGTGTTGCTATGAGTCGTAACTAACTCGACGGCACTTAAAAACAACAGTGGTTTAGAAAGAGTTATAACATGTAGAACTGAAACCCTATTAAAATCCTTCTGTCAGCTGTACTCCGGGAACCCACAACTGTACCTCCCGAGGTTTAACACTGATGGTGTGCTGCTTGTGAAAACTAACTTAACTGAGGTTCCCCAGGGTCTCAGAGCCCCTTCTGACTCTAAATTTCAATCCTGAACATAATTCTAGTAGGCAAAATACCTCAGACAAATCCATTTTAGACATGTATCACAGTTTAAAAGGAAGTAGAAAGAAAATGATAGTGTCAATTCAAGTGAGTTCAGATGGGCAGATATTAGAAAAAACCCTAGCACTTAGTAGGTGCTGTAAGAAGGCCTTATTCCACATATTCATAAAACAGCTCCTCTAGTCGCTATGTAGAAAGCTTGGTGCTCAGCAATTGCCAGGCAAAAAACATTAACCAAAAATAACCATATATCAAATAATGACTAATATGTTTGTGACTGGTTATCAGATGTACTAAGTAACAATAATAAAATACATTAGGAACTGTTCATCAGGCATTTTGAACAGCATGTTCCATCCCAACAGTGCCAGACATAAGTCAATTCAAGGAGGGACTTCAAGGAGGTGTCCAAGGGAGGTCAGTTTGAAGCCTTTTCTCAAGCTCCTATAAATGTTTCACGCATGCAAACCAAATTCACATTATTTGTTTCTGGTTTGGGACACATTTTTTCTTTTTCAAAACCAGGGCTTCAAACTGGTTCATTCTGGTTAAATCTTCTGTTGAGCATTTGTCTTTCCACTCCAGATATACTGAATTAGAATCTACATTTTAACAAGATCCCCAGATGATTCTTTCTTCTTCTTTTTACTGTGAATTGAATGAAAGTTTATAGAGCAGATCAGTTTCCTATTCAACAAATCATACATATTTTATTTCATCTTACTAATTGAAATTTTCACCATGAAGCATCTCTTAATTCACTTCCTCCCTGGGTTTCCTGTTTCATTCCTTCTTTCCTAACTTTTCTGAACTTTGTTCTTAGGCAAATGCTGCCCTTTAGATGTCAAATGATTGATAATTCTAAGGTGTGTGTGCCTCCCTAGTGTTACACTGTGTTCCTGCTACATAGACTTGACTATTGTTTGGCTGAAAATTGAACCAGGGAGTGAGTTCATTTCCAGACCTGAAGGGTGGCTAAGCATGGGTACCGCCAGTTTGTATCCAACCTGTAAGCCTAGTTTTTTAAATATAATTTTGAGTTTTGTTCCACATTTTTTACCCACTCTAACCAGGACCTTCTATTGTGACTCCTTTCAGAGCAGTTGGTAGAGGTACCTGGGCACCATCTAGTTTTTCTGGCCTCAGGTTTGTGGAGACTGATGTCCACAAAGTCCATTAGTTCATTGGACTAGTTGTTTCCATGCATTTTCATTTTTTATCACTCTTCTTTCTTCTAGACAGGGAGCAACTGATAGCTGCACCTTAGATGGTGACTTTTGAGGTTTTAAGACCTCAGTTGCTACTCACCAAAGTAGGATATACAACATTGTCTTTGTGGACTATGTTACGCTAGTTGACCTTGGTGTCCCCTGAGGCTATGATTTTGTGCCCCTAGTCCAGTGACTCATTCCTCAAGTTATATGGTTGTTTCCAAAAAGTTTTCACAACTTTGCCTTCACCAGGTGATTCTTATGCATACATAGGCTCTTAATAGATCTCTTGTTGTTATTGGTATGTGCCGTGGAGTTGGTTCCGACTCATACTGACCCTATACGGGGTTTTCAAGGCTATAAATCTTTATGGGAGCAGAAAGCCTCATCTTTCTCCCGTGGAACAGCTGGTAGTTTCAAATTGCTGACCTAACATTTCGCAGCCCAATTCGTAACCACTGTGTTACCAGAGCTCCTTTATAGATCACTTAGGGATCTATGAAATTCACCTGGGGCTCTTGTTAAACTATAAATTCTAGCTCAGTAGCCCTGGGATAGGGATGGTGGTGGTGTGCCGTTGAGTCAGTTCTGACTCTTAGTGACCCTGCATAGGGTTTCTGAGGCTATAAATCTTTATGGGAGCAGAAAGCCTTATTTTTCTTCTTTGGATTAAGTGGTAGATTCAAACCACTGTCCTTGTGGGTAGCAGCACAGCTCGTAAACCACAACACTGCCAGAACTCCTGTATCTTAGGTGGAAATGCAAATTCTCAGGATGACTGCTTAAAAGCCCTGCTCAAAGCTCAGAAGGCCTTTGTTGCTGGGAATCCTAGAGAGTGTGGCATGCAGAATGCAGGTGGGCAAAGACCGTGTGTTTGTGTGTCCGTGTGCGTTTCGTTGTGCGCTGTAGATGTGCCTGAGGCAGTGGGTGGGATGGGGGTTTTAGTTGCAAAAGATTCACCGTTAAAAACCCCATCCTAGAAGATATTGACTCTTTCCTGTTGAGATGTGCGAAGTATGTACTGTTCCATCACTTCACATACACTCTGTGTATCTTCCCTTTCTGCCCAGTTAAGGCCTAGCCTTTAGACTTCGTCTTTGTCAAGAAGAAAGAAGACAGTACGCTTTGGTGAAAGATCTCCTGAGTGGGTGTCACGAGATCTGGGTTCTAGTCCTGGCTCTGTTGACAAATAGCTGTGTGCTTTTGGACAATTCCCTTGGCTTCTCTGTGCCTGCAATTTTTTCATCTGTAAAAATAAGGCAATTTAGACTTTACCTACCTCACAGGGTGGTAGTGAGAATCAGGCCAACTGAAAAAATTTTCTGAATATGTTTTGAAAAGTATGAAATACTATATAAGTACAATATATTATTAAGACCATGACTCCGCAGCAAGGTTTTCCTTAAAGTATTAATAGGTTTAGTCCCTAAATGTTCCCCCAAACCCTGATTCTCAAATTGTAATCCATGGGCCAACAGCAAGTACATCCCCTGGGAGCTGTTCAGAAATGCAGAACTTGGACCCCACCCAGACCTACTGAATGAGTCCCAGGTGATCTATGTAAACCATTAAATGCAGGTGGGAAGAAAAAAACTGAAAACCCACTGCCTTCCAGTTGGTTCTGACTCATAGTGACCCTGAGCAGGGTTTCAGAGGCTGTAAATCATTATGGGGGCAGAAAGCCTCATCTTTATTATGCAAAACAGCTGGTAGTTTCCAACTGCTGGCCTTGCGGTTCACAGCCGAATTCGTAACCACTACACTACCAGAGCTCCTTCATGGCGACCCTATAGGATAGAGTAAAACTCCACAGTTTTCAAGACTGTAAATCTTTATGGGAGCAGACTGCCTCATCTTGTTGCCTCAGAGCAGCTTGAACTGCTTCACAGCTGGTAGGTTTGCACCTCAGTGTTTAACACACAGTGCCGACGAAGGCTCCTAGGTAGGCGGAAACAGGACTTCAACCACAGGTTTTCCACCATGAGAATGCATAAGGATTACCTAGACCCAAACTCCAGAGATTCTGATTCAGAAACTCTGGGATGAGGTTCAGGAATGTACATTTGATGTAAAGGTCCCAGGTAATCCTAAAGTCCTAGGACCACCCTTTGTAAACGCTGCACAAAACTATCAAGATTGCCATGGTTGTGAGATGAATCTTAGTAGAATCTCAGATTACCTTTATATCTGCTACCTCACCCTCAGTCAACCCCATGTGTTTCTTTCTTTCTTTTTTTTTTTTTGGAAAAAGAAAATCATCCCTGTCCTTTATGTCTCTATCAATAAGCAGTCACCATTCAACTCAAGAGGCTTTTAGGTCCCCATTGAGGTGGGTTTTGCTTTGACTCCCTGGGTTCTCTTAAGGTTATTCAAAATTAAGCAGCTATTTTGAAGTTGCAGTCACTTCAAAGTAAATATTTTGTTTATATGAGATCTAATTACAAGGGGGCTTCAAAATAAATGAAAAGATGATGGCATTTTTCCACCAACTCTTTGAAACCCTTTGTATTTGCATATCTAGCATATCTAGCCTGTTAAGTGCTATTGAGTTGGTTCCAACTCATAGTGACACTGTATACGGTTTCCAAGGAGTGGTTGGTAGGTTTGAACTAGTGCTTATCCTACAGCACCACACAGGACTTCATATCTAGTTTATCTGCATATGAATACATATACACATCTATTTTATTTAGCACACATTACACTTAGAAACTGGAGTTTTTGCAAGAGAAGTCCAAATACTAGGAATACAGAATTGCAAAAACTGTACTAAAGGCATATTTGTAAGTTGGAAATACTAACTGACATGATTTCTCAACAGTTCAGACCTCTCAAAAATTTTTGTCATTTATACTTAAAATGGAGAGCTAAGGACGTGGCTTTAAAGCTAAGAGCAATTATCAAGCAACATTCTTATTTTATAGAAAGAGAAATGTACCCAGAGATTCAGGAAACAACTACAGGTTTTCCACCAAGACATGGTTGGCAGAATAAGAATTTCACATCTGTATTCTTTATTAACAGTAGCTAACTTGATTATTTTCTATTGTTTTGTTATTGTTAAAATCGCACTCTAGACTGTTTTGTCTTGTTGTTATATCCCGTTGAGTTAACTGATTCCAACTTATAGCAACCTTGTATAGGGTTTCCAAGGAGCAGCTCGTGGGTTTGAACCACTGACCTTGTGGTTGTTATGTGCCGTGGAGTCGGTTTCGACTCATAGTGACCCTGTACCAGGTTTCCGAGGCTGTACAGGCGCAGAAAGCCTCATCTTTCTCCTGCAGAACAGCTGGTAGTTTCGAACTGCTGACCTTGCAGTTCGCAGCCCAATTCATAATCACTACGCTACCAGAGGTCGTTGACCTTGCGGTTAGCAGTCCAATATTTATCTTATAGCATCACACGAGGATTACATTTAGCTGAAAATGACCCTTTATTCAACTACTGATGTCAAGGACTGATTTAGTCTAGGTGTACTGTAGTTGGGATTGGATGTCCACCTTTATTGTTTTGGGGTGAGGGGAAAATGTCCCGTAGTCAGGATAGACATTTACTTTCAAAAATAATAAAAACCACTCCTTTGTTGGCTTTTTCAGGAGATGCATTTAGAAGACACCACCAGATTCTGTCCAAAGGAAGAGAGAGAAAGTGAACAAACATCTTTCAGCGATCAAAACCCCAGGCAAGACCAGAAAGGGGGCTTCCGCAGCTCCTTCCGCAAGCTCTTTAAAAAGAAGTGAGTAGCCCTTAGACAAGACAGCATTGTAACTCATTTCCTTTGAGGTTTTTAAAAATAAGTCTCCTGTAGCCTGGTCTCACACAACTGCTTCCAACTTAGTGCCTGAACCCAGTAACCACGAATCCTGCTGAGTAAAGATGTTTCTCATTGTAATCTGCTAGAATTAGAAGGAATCTCAGCTGTCTCCCCTGTCTCTTGTGTCTTTTAGCCCTCCTTTCCATTTTCCCTAAGTTCTGTGTCCTGAGAGGGGTAAGCAGAGGTGGCTTGGAAAATGAGCTGGTGACAATCAGATCCCTTTTATACTGGGAGGAATGGAATGGGATCCCGAATTATAATGGATGTAGAGAGTGCTCCTATCTGAACCTCCCCCTTCACTCCCTCCACCCCATGGAACATTTTCTTAAGAACATCTCAGCTTTTCTGCCTGTAGGAATCTATAGTGGTCCTGAGTTAGTACTAACTCATGTTTATGGGGTCTTCTGCTAGTGTTTTTCCTTAACGAGTGGGTTTGGTGTGGAGCCTAGTTAAAATTCTCTTTAATGCCGTTTCCATACTCTAAAAGATTGGAAAAAAAAAAAAAAAAAAAAAAAAAAAAGGTCCTTTAAGACGCTTTGGTCTTTTGAAACATCACCCACCAGATATTTTGGTCAGCACGTTTCAGAACTGTTTTACAAACTGGGGAGAGGGTCAAACCCAGCATGAGCTTAAGCATTACCCTTTGGTCATAGAGTCTCCAGTCCAGCCATCAGCTTTCTGAGAGGCTGCTGTTCCTACCGCCCCCTCTCCCTAGTTGCTCTTAGCAGAGGAGATTGTTGCAGTTTGTTGTACAAGTCAAGTCGACAAGTCTTCGTATTAGAATGGAAGACAAAAGGAAACAAAGACACGATTGCTGCCGGACTACACAGGAGCTGATCAGTGTCAAAACCTAGGGCAATCATTTTGTTCTGGAAGTTAGAAGTTACCAGTTGATTTAGATAAGGGTCTTAATGGAAGAATCGGTGGCAGGTCTGGAGTGAGGACATTTGAGGCGGTGGGGGGGGGGGGGTACGGAGAGGGGGCGAATGCACGTGGTCGTTGCATCACCTGGGGAAGGTGATACTGAGATCAGTGTTGCCTATCTGTTGTTAAAGAGAGCAATAACCCATGGTTGTTGAGTTGATTCTCACTCATACAGATCAGATAGGATTGATTGCCCAATAGTTTCCAAGGCTGTAATCTTTACAGAAGCGCACTGCTACATCTGTCTCATGTGGAGTGGGTGGTGAATTCAAACCCCTGACGTTTTAGTGTCCCACCAGGATTCCTTTTAACGCTGAGCAATCTTGCAATGGGTCACAGATCTATATTGGCAAGTTCTCTTTCAATTTTACTAAAGCAGCCCATCCCATGGTGGGTCCTTGATACCACGTTCTTTATTCAGGGGCTGAGGAGTTAAGAATGGCTTTCCCCTCTCTAGAATCATAGACATAGATCTTTCTTGGCCAGTGTCTATTTTGACAGGTTTGGAGGTGGTGGGGAACCTAGAAGCAACTCTCCTGTCTGACCTTGGGATGATTTCGGTTCCTGAGGACTCAACTCCCAAGGCTATTATTGCTTAAGCCTGTGTGTGTCTTTTGTAAACTATGGCTAAGGGTTCCCTAAACAATCAACTGCTCTTTGCTTACTGCCATTTGTATCGCTGTGTGCTGAGTGTTGGAAAGCACTGAGCAATGGTGTCGCTGTTGAATCTTGACAAAGTCACATTGATCAGAGTGATCTGGAAATGCTCTGCTACTATACGAAGCAGAGGACATAGACTAGAACAGGGGCAAGAAGAAATACTTGGCTTACTAATTCAGTTGCCTGGAACAGGAGTTGTGTGGCTCAGCAGGGAAGCGATTCTGGTTATTTAAGCAGAAGGTCAATGACCCTGGTCAGAGATTCTATGGAAAGGATTCTTTCTGGAGGTTACTCAAGATAATAACCTGGGCCCTTCTATTGCTGAGATTTGATTTATCTGTAGCTTGACTTCATTGCCTTTAATCACATCTTTTCAACACCTGAAACAAATTAATATAGGCTTTGAGAACTGTAATTTTAAAGTCCCACCATGTAGAAGACCAGAATTTATCTTTCAATAGCCACATCCAAAACCCACTACCATCAAGTTGGCTCACGGCGACCATATATAGGGTTTCCGAGACTATAAATCTTTACCAGAGCAGACAGCCTCATCATTATTCTATGGGACCATTGATGGGCTTGAACTGTTCACCTTGTGGTTAGCAGTCCAGTGCTTATCCTACAGTACCAAATTCATGCTGGTTACTTGCTTTCAGTCTTCTTCCTGCTTTTTGGCTGCTTCTTACATACAGGGCCAAAATGGATTCCCTTAGTTGACTTGTTCTGCCTCATAGATGAGTTCCTCACTCCCTCCTGCATCAATCATAGTGCTGCGACCGATACAGGCCCCGTCCTTTGTCTCTGAATGGAAGTATAGGTGGCACCAGATTACTGGCTTTATTGATCCGGCTTACAACCTGAGCGCCATCAGGTGATGTCTGCTGATGGTCTTTTGTTCAGGGCACCATGGTGGGGACTTAACACAAGACAAAGCAGCAGCTTGCGTAGCTTCTCCTGAGTTTTTCATCCAAGGGCCATGGAAAGTTAAACCATTGTGTGAAGTAGAGAAGGAAGGGCAGGGATGCTTAAGCCTAACACAGAAAGGTCAGTGAGTTTCTCAGATGAACACAGCATTCTTCTTAGTTCTGCATCCTTTTTTACATATATGCTCTACACAGGACACTTATATATATATAGGAGTCACAGGTGACGTGATACCATCCTGCCATGTAGGCACGTGCGCTCTTAAGTTGTGCATGTGGACAAGTACAGGGAGGAACTAGAAAGAGCCATTCAGCCCATTCTCTTCTGTGTGCTGGGAGGTTAGGCTAGCAGCAAGCCCTCTGACTGTTTTGTGGTTGATTGTTGGGCCTGGATCTACACCAGAGCTTGACCTCAGGCCCCAATGGACTGCTGCCAGAAGAGCAACCTGTGTGTGTCAGGTTTTGGGCTCGCTGCCTGCCTCCCCTGCAGCTCTCTGGATGCTTAATTCTGTCTACACTGACACACTTTTTGTATCCATAGGGGCTTGTTTGGCTGGTGGCCCCACACACCCAGAATGCTGCTTCGGGATGAAGCTAGGCCTGGAGCCAGATGCAACAGAAAGTCTGAGAAAGGGTTCTCTTCCCTCTGAGGCTGGGAGGGCCGAATGCTCAGACCCACGAGGATTCAAAAGGGAGAGCCAAGCTGACATCATAAAATAAAACCCTGAAAAATGCCCAGAATATCTGGGGGAGAGGATAATGCTCTGATCGTTTTCATCTCAGATACATTTGTCCTGGTTAAATACTAGGCCACATGTCCCTGAAAGCTTTCCAGAATTGATCAGAATGAAGACTTCATTATCTTAAAGTTTGAAAATGTTAAGGGACTTTAAAATTTTTAAATGAGGATTCCTAGAAGCCAGGAACAGCCCAATGTGATAGGCTGATGTAGGGCTGAATTTTTATCCACCTGCCTTTGAACTATCCCACTTAGAATGGTTTACATGGAGGCTGTCCTAGGCTTAAACCTAGACGATCCTGAAGTTTGAGGCAAACGCTACTTCATCGTTATATATATATAAATCTTGCACTGAGATTAAGGCATACTCTTGGGTCCAGGGCGTGGAGTAAGAAGATCCCATAGACAGTTTAGGGGGAGGGAGTGGAGATGGTGAACGCACATGCTCTTGCCCCCTCTCACTTTGAGGGGGAGTAGAAGATAAAATCGATGGCTTCCAGATGATTAATCTTACTTCCTCACCAGTTCTCCTCCTCGTTAGCATTTTATACTTAAACACCTCAGTGTCTGTCTCCATACAGTTCCAGCCACCTGTCTGCCATCACATCAAATCTATTTTCTTAATCATACACAGAGTTCTTCTATAGGGCCCTATATAATTGTCAGCCAATTTGGTTTCTTGTCAGCTATTTTACATGTGAGGAACATACCCTGTAATGGAAAGCCGGACTGCTAAAGAATCCATTGATAATGTTATCCTCCCCTTACTCTCTGCCACCTTCAAACCCTTCTCAAGTCCCTCAACCCTTCTTATGTGCCTGGAGTTCTCCCTCACTTCCCGTTTCATTTTTAGTGGAAAGGGATGTTTGAAGGGATAAACATTTTAGATGACTTATCCCTGATTACAAAAGTTGCTCAATCACTAAACCTCTTCAACATACTTATCTAGCACATTAAGTTCTGTCTGGTGAAAAAGAAGCAAAAGAGTTCCTTCCCGTTGCCTTGTGACAGTCCAAATGCAAAGGTACCACAGTACCTATAGCACACAGTGGCTATTTATAGCACTCAGCAGCTATCCCATGAATGCTCAATTGTGACCCTGTTGATGACCCCTACTTCCCCATGTGCATGCCTCCTGAAGCTTTCACGTAGAACAGTCATTCTAGGCAGAGGACCAACCCTCCGCAGGTCAGAGTTGTCTGTGGTTGTTGTTGTTGTTGTTAAGTGCCGTCGAGTCGGTTCCGACCCATAGCGACCCTGTACAGGGTTTCCGAGGGTGTAAATCCTTACGGGAGTAGAAAGCCTCATCTTTCTCCCGCGGAGCGGCTGGTAGTTTCGAACCGCTGACCTTAAGGTTCGCAGTCTGTGGTATTACATTCTAATTCTCCTGCTTTCCCAACTCTAGATCGGCTCTCTAGGTTTATTTGTAGCACATCTATTCTTGGATGCCCTACCCACTTGCTATTTTCTTTGTTTCTGTCAATTGTGTTGGAAGCAAAGTTAACAGGACTATTCGCTTACCTTCTTTCCATGAAAAGCTTGTCACAATATACTGGCAGCCTGTCTCTATTGTGCCCACTGACATCTGCCCTGTCAAAATGCCCAAAGTTCAAAAGTCATTTCTGTTTTAAAGAAAAAGGAAATAAAAGTAATTATGCTGGCCCTTCCTCCTAGATTCTGCAGGTTTTTTTCCAGTCGTTTAGGTGCATGTTACTCCGGAGTCTTAACAGCCAGAACTTTGGGAGAGTCCAGTGCTCAGATGGCCATAAGTTATGTCTGATTATGAAGAGGGTAGTTAAAATAAAGAATGCTGGATTTTAAAAAGGACACAGAGAAGGTGCAGTTAGTGAGCAGAGCAGTTAAGAGGGAAAAAAAGAAAAAACTAAGCTGAGTTTGTGGACTTTAAAAACTAGACAGGGCGATTTTGGCATTTGTTTCAGAAATGGGAACGCAACTGGTGAAGATTTCTGTGGTCCTTGGGGCTGGTGGTGACATCAAAGCTTTCCCATTTCCAGGTAAACACTAAACAGCTGCATGTTGGAACAATCGAAGTGTGCTCTGTTGGGATTTGGAGAGATCAGACGTAGTTAAGAGGGGAAATGTGAGGTGAAGATTGGCAGTTTTGACTAATGACTTTGATAAGTAACTCACTTGGGGGAGCAATGCAGAAGAAATAATAGTCAAATCGTATTCCTTACTTCCCACTGCCTAAACCAGAGACTTTCTTAGTCTTCTGGATATGGGGAAAGAGTGAAAAGGTCAGACATACCCATCTTCCTAACATTTGAGGCACAGCTGGACTAATCAGGGGTGATTTGATCTGGAGGTCCGTGGGAGACCAAAGAGACCTGGAATCTTGGGCGGGGGATGGGGTGTCAGATGGAGGCGGTTTCAGGGAGAGTTCTGGGGGAGGGGAGTCTCTAAGAAGAGGACTTTCAACCTACCCACATCTCATTTTATTTGAGGACTCGGCTATATTGGGGTTGAGACGTAGAAGTTTTTCCTTTTGTTGGGATCTAGTGGAAAAGTGCTCCCTACTGACCAGCAGTAGAAAGAATGGTGGGCAGCTATGGCTCTATCTAAGACATCAAATAGCCAGGTGAAAAGTACAAATAACTAGTCAGTCATCAGGTTTCCAAATGTCAGGATTTTTGTCTTCATGTGGCTCCTACTTTTCTTGACTAATGTAAAGGGACATTTGAATTCTGCCCAATTAACTCAGTAACTGGTAGTCCCAATGAACTGATCTAAGAACAGTAACTGAGACCCGTAGTGTAAGACCTTGAGAGGTCATTACCCTTCTATTGTGGCTATAGAGCATATCAGCCTCAGGATATGTGGGACTCGGCCAGTTGTGTGGGAGCTATGGACAGAGAGCTTCATTGCTAACATCACTGTCATAATGACATCCATGAGACCTTTTGATATTGATTCTTAGTCACTAGGCTGATTTTACTCATTTTGGCACAGTTTAAGCTAGCCAAAGAGTCCCAGCTTAGTTTATCAGAGGTTATTTCTAGAAAGCCTCCTCCCTCCAGGGACTTCTGACATGAACAGACTGGAGAAGGTGCAGAGCTGGAATGGATTGCCCAACTGGCTTAACCAAGATAAAGGAAGAATGCACCCTCGAATTGAACTGATTTGAGTCGTTGACTGTCGATTGGGTGTGGTCTTCTTTGTGGTGGCTGAGATTATGATTCCTGTACTAATTTCTGCATTCTACCAAATGTAGCATATATGTGTGGTTGACTTCAATAAATTTTTCGTTTAAACATGAAAACAAGTAAAAGCAAGAGTTTGTAATGTAACACCCAAATTCAGTAAACTTGGTTGAGAACAGTGAATTCCATCCATTTTATTTTAGGGGCCTTGGTATTTGTGGAGTAGTTACCTGGTGGAATTAAAAACAGGGTCTTTCTTTAAAAAAAAAAAAAAAAAAACTTTGCTGAGCTTTTACGCCCCTATTTTCTTGTTATTTCATAATAACTTACACTGTCGTATTCTCAGGACTGGAAACAGTTGTCACAATTGTCCCCATAAAGCACTGGGGGACAATAAGCTCTTTTTTGTTGGCTGCAAATCTCAGGTATACATGCCCTGAGTTAGGAAGTCCAGGGGAAGTAAAAATTATTCCAGATTTAGAAGGCAACTGTTTTACAAATGCAAAAACAATTTGGATAGATGAAATATTTGAAAACAATGAAAACCAAATCAACCTGTACTTTATCTGTGTGCTGAGATTTTAGGTCCAGTGGATCAGAATACAGGGAAAAAACTAATGAGAGCCCCTCAATGGATCCTTCACCCACCAAACAAGATTTCTTCAGAAACCGACTTGTACTTGCAAATGACCTTGACCAAGGAACCGCTGTGTAAATTATACTTAAAATTGTGTTGTCAAGTGGTAAGATGAGGCAAAAGAGCTTGTTTATATCTATGCAGGAATCTCTATATCTCAATGTGTAAATCCCTCACAGAACTAATATAAATCTTTACGTATGAAACTAAATCAACACACAAGATGTTGAGGCGATGAAGATTAGTCTATGGTAAAGAACTGACTTTTTGAACCTCAGCGCTTGGAAAAAGGGGAATGAAGACTTTGACAGCGCTGAAGAAAACCAAAATAAATTTAGAGGAAAATAAACATTTGTAAGAACAGAAACTTCTGGAAATCTTTCCCCTGATACATACTACCCAGCATGTTTATATTTAGCATGGATGTGAATTTTATCCTTTCTAAGCATTTAGCTTATTAATTCAATCCCTGTGTGCTTAGCCTAACATATATTAGGGGCCAATTCTGTCCTGCTTGTCTGCCTTCCAAGAACCCCAAGGCTATACCTAGCATCCCGTAAGGGGAGAAGGATCAATGAAAAGAACTGTATTTTACATGTTACCAATCTGAGTTATGGAGAACTTTTGTTAAACCATGTTACAGAAGGTTTAAACCTCTGAACAGAAAGTTCAAAGCTGAAAGGCACACTGATCTCCAAACAAGAAAACCACCTTGAAAGTAGTGTTCCTGACTTCTGTGGTTGTGGAAATAAGGTGACTATGATTTCTCTAGAACGTGGGGGCCTCCTGTAGGCTGTGCTGGTGGGGGATGGGGGCAGTGCAATGTGTCTACAGAGCACTCAGGTGTTGAGATCCACGAGTGACCCTAGGTGTCATGCACACTTGGGGCCAGTGGGTTTGGTATAAAAACACCGACTTAGCCACATTCTCTTAAAAAGACTCTTCTTCAGCATGGAAAGGTGGCAACGCCACTAATGTTTTTACTGGCTCTAAGATAGTCTTGTTTTACAAACATCAGAGGGTCGGAATGAAAACTCAGCTCTTAGGACCTGGCTGTTTTCCAGAAGTCAGTTGTAAAGGAACAAACCTCCTACAGCTCAAATAAAGGAATCATACTACAATGAGGCCTGCCTGGTATTGGGGTCATAAATCGTGCTCTTATTTCCACATGGATGTTACACCCAAGAGGGAACGCAGTGGCTCTGTAGGATAAGCACTGATCTGTGATCCATTAGGTTGGCAGTTCGAGCCCACAAACCGCTCCATGGGAGAAATGAGGCTTTCTGCTCATGCAAAAATCAAAAAGCTTTGGAAACGCTAAACCGGGTTATGAATCAAAATCAACTCCCCAGGATTTAACAATAAATACACCCAAGATGGGGGTGTGGTGGCTCTGTAGGATAAGCACTAGACTGTGAACCACCAGTTTGGTGGTTCAAGCCTACCAGTCTCTGTATAGGAGAAAGATGAGGTTTTCTGCTCCTGTAAAGATTTATAGCTTTGGCAACCCTATGCAGGGTCGCTGTGAGTCTGAACTGATTGGATGGCACTGAAGAATAACAACAAACACCCTAAATGGTCATCTTTGACACGCCCTAAACATCATGGAAAATTTTAGATTGAAAGATTCTGTGTCTATCTAGCCACTTATAATAAATTAGGGGTATTTGTTTACAGTTCACTTAAAATTTTGGTGCTCTAACTGGCTGTTTGAGAGACTGTTTCTGTAGGAATGCACTGTTTGATGAGTTGCAGAAGAGTCCCAGACTTTTCTTGTCTGGTGACTAATTAGTGGCTCACTGACTAGTATTTAGAACAACAGGTGTCTGGACCACTTACAGGATCACTGTAAGTGTTTTTCTGGTTTCCAATATTTAGATTTTTGTTTTTTCTGAAGTTAATGAACTCATTTAAATTAGATTTCTGTCAGTAGGCCAAAGAAGTTTTGGGGCAGTGCTTGAAAACAGAATGTCAAATTAATTGGACATGGAAAGGAAAATTTTGTAAACAAAATGTACAGAACTACTTTCCCCTTCATATTCTGTTTGTCTTCAAAACAATTAGTTACTTAGGGAAGATGGAAAAATACCATTCATCCCCCAAATTTTCATTTTAATAGCATCCTCTGAAAAATCTTGATGCAACATTTGTAGCCCAATTCAATTTATTTGTACAACTATTTTCTGAAGTTAGCCTATAAAATTAGTAAATAATGCTGCCATTCTCAGGGTCCCCATCACCGAATATCCAGGTCCTTCTCTGCTGTCAATCCTACATCTCTGTAACACATTAAAACCCACTGTCCTTGAGTCCGTTCTAACTCACAGCACCCTAGACTGTACATCTTTACAGGAGCAGAGAGTCTCATCTCTGTCCCGTGGAGTGGCTGGTGGTTTTGAACCACCAACCTTGTGGATGGCCCACAGTGCCACCAGGGCTTCATCCCAAAGTACAGCTTTGTTTGAAACTCTTCACCTATTCTTATTTGGCTACAGTCAGATCCCAGACTCCTTGGCTTGACATTAGAGGCTTTCTTCAGTATGGCTCAGAGTTTTTCATTCTGGCTATGGTCTCCCACTTTGAAGTTGTAGGTGGCTGTACCTCAACTAAGCTTGGCTTTTACTGCTTCAAGTCGTGCACCTTCCTCAGGTTCACTCTTGCCTCCTGTCTTTTTATAGCCTCTCTCCTCATGACTCATCTTGAAGACAAAGCTTGAGACTCCTCCCTCCCATCCCCTATCTTTCTGGACCTCTTGTGGTATAACTTGTTATCTTTTGTTGTATTTGCCTTGTCTTCCTAACAAGAATGTAAGTCCCCTTGTACCTCTAAAAGCCTGCCCTACACATAGTAGGTGCTCAATAAATGATTGAACCTGGCGTTAATGGCAGTGTTTTACCAGGTATAGAAGTAGAGACAATAAAAATAATTTCTATGTTTAATTTGACAGTCATAAGGGAAATCAAATTTAATTATTTTCAGAAGCAGTTAAAGCCACCTGTCTTTTTAATGGGTACAGACAAGCACTTGAAAACATCTGAAACATTAAAAAAAAAAAAAAAAAGTTTGCTACTCTTTTCTGCGTTGTTCATTTCATATTCTTTCTAGGCAGGAGTGTAAATTAACAGGGAAGGGTGGATCTTACAATACCAAATCTGTGAGTAAAGTTTCTGGGAGTTGCGGTTGGGAAATTGATATTTAATTAGTGCTGCAGTAGGGATGAAGTCAGGGCGGGAAAGTACTTGGTGACTACCTCATCTGTGATGTCCCGCTCTCTGGAAAAGCACGTTTTACACCAGAGGCCACAGATGTCTTCTGGGAGAGCTTGGGAAGCAGAAGCACTCTACCAAAAGATGAAGCCGAATATTTTTATCCAGAGTGGGTTTCTGTTACAAGCCCTCTGACTCCAGAATTGGAATTTTTAAGAAGTAGGGTTTTGTGGACCAATTTTCTATAGGCTTTTTATGAGACAGTTGCATCGTATAACAGAAGTTTAACAAGCATCAGATCATTTGGCCTGTTGAAGTTTTAGAACCACTGATGTGGCACTGTGTGTTAATGCACTGGACTGTAAAGTCGGTTTCAACTGCAAGGTCAGCAGTTCAAGCTCACCAGCTGCTCCTCAGAAAACCCTTTTCAAGGTCACTATGGGTCGGAACCAACTTGATGGCACTTAACAACTACAACTGTCTATAATGGAGTCCTGGTGTGGTGCTGTAGATAAGCAGTTGACCTCAAGGTTGGTTTGAACTGCAAGGTGGTAGTTCAAATTCAACAGCTACTCCTCAGAAACTCTGTACACGGTCGCTTTGAGTCAGGAACCGACTCGACAGCACATAGTATCTTATACCACTAAATTGGAATGGTATTGTATATAAACGTTGTTGTTAAGTGCCATTGAGTCGGTTCCGACCCATAGCGTCCCTGTACAGGGTTTCCGAGGGTGTAAATCTTTACAGGAGTAGAAAGCCTCATTTTTCTCCCGCGGAGCGGCTGGTAGTTTTGAACCGCTGACCTTAAGGTTTGCAGCCCGATTCGTAACCACTACGCTACCAGAGCTCCATATATAAACGTTAGTACTCAGATTATATCCAGAGACTGAGTCTTAAAACAGAATAAATGATTATACTTACCTTGTGATGTAAAGGAGCTCTGTTGGCACAGGGGTCAAACATTTGGCTATTGACCGAAAGAAAGGTCGGCTGTTTGAACCCACCAGCTGCTCTGTAGGGCCAAGACCTAGCAGTCTGCTTCTGTAAAGATTACAGATTTGGAAACTCTATGGGTTCTATGAATCAGAATTGCCTTGACAGCACACAACTGCATATCAGAAACTTGTGCATTCTTAAATTCACCAGCTGTGATCTTTACCATTCTGTACTTGTAAGAGTTTTATTTAAAAATATAGACACATGACCAGTGCTCTTCATAATTTGATAAAAAATTTATGGACTGTATATTATAGCCAATGATTTACACTTAGTAAAATCATAAAACGAATCTCCTACATTAAGTTGTACAATAAAATTAAATCTGGCTATCAGACTAAGTTTTCTCTTGAAACATCACCATTAATAACTTTCTTCCTGAGTCTACAACAGTTATGCTTTTGGGACATTTGGGATTCTGGTAGCATGAAATTTGATTTAATGCAAAGACTTGAATATAACCCTGACTGAATCTCAGCATTGTAATATTTATGGTCTCTAGAACAGTGAGCCTCAAATGGGAGCGGGGTAGAAGGAGCTGGTGGGGAGTTGATGGTTAAGATATAGTTTGAGAAAAGAGGACATGAGTTTAAAAAATAAGAAGCAAGAAAATGGATTGAAATATATATATATGTTTATTGTTAAGTGCCATCGAGTCGGTTCCAACCCATAGCGACCCTGTACAGGGTTTCCGAGGCTATAAATCTTTACGGGAGCAGAAAGCCTCATATTTCTCCCGCGGAACAGCTGGTAGTTTTGAACTGCTGATGTTGAGGTTAGCATTCTGATTCGTAACCACTATGCAACCAGAGCTCCTTAGTAAAGTATTTAAATGTCATTAACTCAACAAATATTTATTTATATCCAACATTG